CGGGGAACTCTGCAAAAAACGCATCTTCGCACGGGCAGCCCGTGCGTTGGCCAATTTTTTAGGTTTATGAACACCCCGTGCACCTAGCTTTATCGTTTCCATTTGTAAAATAATAACTGCAAAACTGGTCATCATAGTGCTCTTTTAGAATTTCGTACGTAATAATGAAACAAAATTAAAGAAGAAATCACCTATATATAAGTTATTTGCATCTAGCTTCTGGAATTACAAGATCATCTGGATTTCTGAATCTACATCTAGAAACAGTGATATATGAAAGCTGATTCCAATTGCTTATCTGACAAAGAGATTTTACTGCACACGCAAAAATTTCGTCCGAGATAACTGGGACGTTATAAGAATCATTATATTACAAGATGTGAGAGAATAATCATTGGCGACGCGCGCCGGGCGAGCCCGTGCAATCATGCGTTTTTGCAGTATTTCGTGCTGTAATGAGATCGCTCGGAAACCCAGTAGCTAGAATGTGTGATATACTGGTCCTCGAAGTCTGGGAAGTTAATTGTTTACGCTGTATTTGGCCAGGGGAAATTTCGTTGAAATTTCGTCTTTCCAAATTTTCCTCTTGTGTTGGCAATTTTCCTGCCAAAAATATTTACGAGGCCGTACGTGACAACCACTTATGCCGAGGGGGGGGGGGCGGTGAGTTTGATAATGTTAGTTTTTGCTTGTGCTGGGGACATTCCCTGAAAATTTCAGCCTCCCAGCTTTCCTGGTCCCTGAGTTAGCCATTTTCGCGCCAAAAAGATTCACGGGGCCGTACGTGAGTAAAACACACAATTAGGGGCTGAATCTGGCAATTTGAAGTTGTACTTTTGCTGGGAACATCCCCTGAAAATTTCAGCTCTCCAGCTTTCCTGGTTCCCGAGTTAGCTATTTCACGCCAGGAACCCTCACGGGAACATACGCAGGAACCATGCACGCCTGGAGGCTGGATTTGAAATGTTTGAGTCCTGTGGGGACGGAGACATAACCTCAAAATTTCAGCTCTCTGGCTTTTCTGGTCCCCTAGTTAGCGACTTTCCCGCCAAAACTTTCGCCCCCTCGTACGCGAGGCCCAGACTTGCGTGGGGGTTGCCACCGCGGCCCTGGGGTGGCACTTGGCCGGGGAACCCATCGGCAAAATTTTGGAGCCGGGGCTTGCTTGGGTGCCGAGTTGAAATATTCGGACAGACGTGCACGCACGCACACACACACACACACACACACACACACACACACACACATATATATATATATATACACACACACACCGGGGTCGTCACAATATGTTTTTGCATTTGCATATAAGCAAAAACGCATAAAAACTTACGATACAAAATTCATCGGAATCGTTGTCGGTATCAGCAGCTGCATTATCACCCTGACCGTCGCCTGCAACATTTTTATGATTTAATGAACTTTGATCGGCTGCGGTTCAAAGCTCGGTACTTATACTATGCAGTTAGCAACCGCTCCAGCGCTTTGTCTGACGCTTAGTTTTCTAGTGGCCGGTCTGCTTGCAATCGTCACCAGTCACGAACACACTTGATTTTAAAGACACTAGCAAATCTGTAATTCTCTTATGTTGTTAAATATGAGAAAAGGAAATCATGGAGGAAATCAGTTGAACTTAAGTTTGTATAGACTTTAATAATTCTGATTTAAAATTTGAACAAACTGCAGTGTGATCAATCGTCTTACACATTAAAACAGACTTATCGATTCGTCGAAAACTGATGAACGTGCGCAGCAAATGATTCGCTCAGCGCGACGTGGTGACTCACGAGAGTTCTTGACAAAAGCGGTGGCTAGCTAGAGAGGCAAGCTCCGTTACTTGGTTAGACCATGCTCGATCTTGTCTGCATTGAGACCTACACGCTGGTGGATCGGATAACTTTGCTAACCAGCGGCAAATAGGGTTGAGGCTTCAGATGCAAATGGAACGAAGCAGTACCTGAATGGCGTCCATTCGGAGCAGCGGTGCTTGATGATACTGCAACGGTACAGGTGAAACAGAGCGTTAGTACAATCAATTTCATCCCGGGACGTTATTTGGCTCGACTATCGAACTTTTCGAAATCGAACGAGTTTTACAGCAGTGCGACAAAAGACCATCCTAATTTGATATTCATAGACATGATCAGCGGTCTTGCCAAATGCAAAAGCAACGGACGGAAGTTGGAAAGAATGAGGGGGAAGGAGATAAGAGCAGGGAATACAGTTCATTTTTTGTACTGCAAAATACTTTTTATCCCCTCTCACTGTACAGAATATTTATGAAATGCATGAGTTACAACAGGCGTGGGCGACGTTTGATGATACGCGGACCTACTTTGCATACTTATTTAAGCTTTCAATAAAACCCAGTTAGCAACACAACAGGCTTGCCTGTGCGATCATGCGTTTCTGCGCTAATCTTG